AAGAACGGTTTTTGGCACACCGGCTGAACCCAACCAGGATCACACTGGCGCACATGGAGGACTGTTGGTTCTCGCTGATCCAGCAAGCGGATTGACGCAGTTCCAATCCTACACCAACAAAGGATGCGGCTTCCAAAGTTTTCTCTGGCAGGCCACGGAGACAACCATCCTGGTCGTTGGACTGTACCTGCAAACTGGTGAGACCTTTCAAAGTGAGACAAACTCAGAGATCTTGGCCAAGCTGCTGACTTTGCTCACTCATACCACACATCCGTACGTGCTCATTGGAGACTGGCAGAATCAGCCCAGTGCTTTGGCAAGCACAGTTTTGCCGTCCAAGTTCCAATTTGGCATCCTGGCACCTGATCACAGTGCGCTGTCAGGAAATACCATCGACTATGCGGTTCTGCACAACACCTTGGCTGGCACCACATCCATACAGGCGGAATGGGCAGTTCCTTGGAGACCACATGCTTTGCTGCGTTTGAAGTTTGACATTGAAACTTCTACAATGGAGTATAGACAGATGCCCTACTTTCCACCGACGCCAAAGGTTCCTGACATTGACTTCCGGCCCTGCACAACGTACCAATCTCAGGCCCATGTCGTTGAGCTCTTTGGCATTCCGCCAAATCAAGCAGCCCAGCCATGGGCTGATTGGCTCTCCCGCACCGAGCAGTACCTCCTCCAAGAGCACCCTTGGGCGGCACAGGGGAGAGGGCACCATTTGCAGGCAGTCACAAAGCCACTGATGACGCAGCCTAAAGGTCACACATGGCGCAAAGGGACTCAGGCAGAGATTCCAAAAGGCAAAACAGAGAAGGATCAAATTGAGGTCCTTAAAGATCCCTGCACTAAAAGTTCGCCTACGGCTGCACCAAGGAGGCATCCAACCGGTGGCGCTATGGGGCATTGAATCGCAAGGACTATCACAATTGGCCCCCACACCAGCTCCAGCACTTGGAGCAAGCATGGACGGAGATCCACAAGCAGCTCCAGCCCAAACAACATCCATGGTATGTGGTGCGAGGGCCTATGGCGGCCACCATTGCCTACCTGATGGAATGGAACTGGCAGGTCCATGACATACATCGTTGGCAAAGGCAGGGTAGCACCTACATGATAGAGAATGAGATCACAATTCAGGATCCCTGGTGGAAACTCGAGCGGACCATTCAACAAGAGGCCAAAGCACAACGCATTGCCAGAGTGGCGAGCAAACCGAATCATCAACACCTTGTTGCAGGCATCGATTGGCATGCTACCGGCAGGTGCTCAAAACCATCCCTGGTGATCAGAAACCACATCTCCGCACATGGACTCAGGCAGCACTGCACTACAAAGAGGATGGCAAAGCCAAAGAGTGCCCCATTTGCAAGGTTCCAGCAACAACGAAGCACATTCTGTGGTTGCGCAAATGGCACCAGACACAAAAACACAAACCCATGCCACCAGAGTGGGCAGAGCGCATCTTGTCCGAGGACGAGACGACGGCTGGCTGGATTCCCCTGGGGCCGCAGGAGGCCAAACACATGGTGCTCCCGTACCAGGGACATGGGGCGTGGCAGGGTTTGCAACAACTGGCACCACATCAACACCAAGGGTGGGCCTTCACTCTCGACGCCACGCCGTCGAGCTATGACCAGAGAGATCAGCTCTGGATTTTTGGACTGTGCGCCCACACCATGACCTTGCGCCAATTGCAGAGGCTAGGCCATAACAGGTACACCCAGAGCACCTCACAACAAGGCCAGGGCCCTCATGGAAGGCCTAGTTGCATTGGCCAAGCACACTTCCACAGCAGTGAGAGTCATTGCCCAGCTCGTCAGTGTGTGGGCAGCATGGACGCAACCCAAACATCGAGGACCCTACCTGGACCAGCTTGAGCAGCTCACACACCAAGACTTCCAACGAGTCAAGGTTCTCTATGTGTCCAGAAACACCAGGTCACCACAAGCGCCAGGCAGTGAGCCTCAGTTGAGGCGACGCCAACGGGATGCAGCCCTGGCAGCCTGGGAGAGGGCAGCGGGTATTAGATGAGGATCACAAGCTCATCTACACACATGCAATCAGCAGATTGGCCACGGTCTTCAACAGTAAAGATCACTACATCCACCAGAAACCAAACCGCCACCAGGGCAAGCACACCAAGCAATACAAAAAGCAACTCATTGCTAAGTGCAAAACACCTTGGCAGGCACCGTCTCACAGATGGGTGCCACACAGAAGTGGCTACCAATGTGGAGCATGTGGAGTGCGTGTCCATCAGGCCCTCACTGTTCAGGTCCTTGAAGAACACCACAACGCAGACTGTCCGCAGCTAAGCATTGAAGAGCCTGAACCAGACAGTCCTCACCAGCCCATGCCCAAGAAGCAGACCAGGCAACAGGTCATCAAGAAGCTTCTGCAACAACAGCAAGAAGAAGCTCCACCAAAGCACCAGCACGAATTTGACGAGACTGCAGGATATCTACGCTGTGTCAAATGTGGAGCAAATGTCCACAAGAGGAGCAATGAGCAGCTGTTCCAAGCTTTTGTACAAGGACAATGCCTGGATCAGCCGTACACAGCCACCCATGAAGGCCACACCAGTCATGCACTGCGGCAAAAGGGCAGCAAAGTAACTTGCACACAATGCGGATTGAGTCTGCACTTGGATGCTCAACAAAGGCTCATCCTCACTGGCGCCATCAAAAAGCCTTGCAAAGGCTCAGGCATTAGTGGATCTCCACCGCTAACGGAGATTTTCCGCAAGCAAGCAGCACAAGCATCACAGCAAAAGAGTCCTGAGGACTCCACGAGTGGCACCAGCCAGACAACTCAGCCAGCACCCCAGGTCGTGCAGGAGACGTCCAAGAAACCCAGACTTCAGCATCAGCACCATGCAGAGTCACAAGAGCCCAACCTTAAGGGCCCAGGGCCCACACCACGGCGGCTGCATTTTCCCACTGAGCTGGATCAGCAAGCTCAGGGATCCAGCACAGGCCATGAAACCCATCCCAAAGGATCCCTCGAGCAGTCCACCGACCACTAGCCCACCGGAAGCACCCAGCTCTGGCCATGCAGTCCACGCTGGTGACACTGAAGAGACCTCCTTCACGGTGGACTACTTTTGAGCGGGCTCACTCGTGTGAGGCACCTGGCCTAGGCGACAGGCCACAAGAGCCGAAGCCATGCCATATGTCACTTGTCGGAGCATGCCAAGTTGGTGCAAGACCACATGTCAAATGCGCATGCCAGAAGGCATGTCAGAACATGCGTTAGACTTCACGGCAGGGCACATGTCAGAAGACATGCCAGCAACAACGTCGGAACACATTCCAAAACATGTCCCAGCCTTTGCGCCAGATGATGCTTCAGAACACATACCAGACTTGATGCAAGAACAAAGTGTCAGAGCATTGCATCAATCAATGCCCTCACCAGGCAGCGAATGTCAGGATAGTGTGTCTGTGTGTCAATACATGTGCCCTGCTTCTTCCAAATCGCTTCTCAAGGTGGGGATCGCGCGAAGTAAAGTAATTGGTGTACAAACTCCCTTCTGTGTCTGGTCCTAGACCAATGCAGCATTGAAGCGACAAAGCTTGCAAGAGCAGGTTGACATTCCTTACGAATCGGTGAATGTTCCGGGGTCCAACAGGGTGCCGGGGTTTTCACCCACCAAATGACAGCTTCTGGGTGTGGTCAGCGCGATCCCTTTCAGCCACGAAACCATGAGAGGAAAAGTGACTCTTCCGAAGGCCAATCCATGCGGGGTGTCATGCGGTCCCATGCAACGACGGCGATGGCATTCACCATGATGCAAGACAGACTCCAGCTCGGTGCCCAGGTTGGCACAAAATGCAGCCCTTGAGGACACGGAGAAGACTTGCAAAAAACTGCGAACTCCTCAGTTAACTCAAGACTTGTCACACAGTTGCAGGACAGGTTCCAGCTGCTTAGTAAAAGAATAGGTGAGGTCGCCATGGCACTAAACCGTGTAAAATTCCCATGAGGACCCTTCCGAGCAACCATACTTCAACCATAACCCTTCAAAAGCTCCATTTTGGGCCAAGCAAAACTCTGGACATGAAAACACAAAAAGGATGAATAGAAACAAAAGGCAAGAAAAAATGAGACACCAAAATATGTGCAAAACAATCGGCTCATTTAGAGAACTCCACTTGAGATGTGAAATCATGCGGCCAAGCGTCAAAAATACACCACAATCTCTGAAAATATGCATCATCCCATAAAACAAGCATCTCATTTGAGTTCGCAACAAAGGCTGGAATGGCTTGGAGGACAGCAGCTTTCTCAAACACGTCTGCTTGATTCACACAAATACGGTCAAACCAGAAAGATTTACGACTCAACAAATGCCCGAAGAAGTATGTCAGGGCAAATATGGCCATTGGGAAGTACACTAGCGTGCCAGCAAGCCAACCTTGGTACTCACGTGCCACACCAGTAAAGCTTCCTGCCAACAGAAGCAGAATCGATGCTGCGGCAACACATGCGGCTAGGCAAAGCATGATTGCCAAGTCGAAATTGAGATAGTGACACACCGTCAGCATCTTCTTGAATCTTGGACAGGACCAAGAATGACTGAGAAAGAAATCTACCTTGGAGACGGTCGCTGAAGAGCAGCTGTTTTCCACCAGCGTATTGCAGGTGAGATTCACAAACACCTCCCAAGCAGTTGCAGATTTAAAGAGCCCTTTCTGCCGAGCAATGGCAGCTTGCTCCTGAATGATGTGCATTGGACAAAACCCTTCAATTGAAGCGCAGCCATTCCTGATCGGCTCAAGGGCCGAAATCGGCGCAGCGATCGGCTCTCGGACCCGCAAACCTCTCAAATATGACTTGACCATCTCCCATCTCAGTCCCATCTTCCATCTCTGCCCTCCAAGAAAATATCTTCCTGATTGTTACAGTGAGCCTGATCAAGATGGGAGAGACTATGCTTTATCCGTTTATCCCGGACCCAGTCGCTCGCGTCACCTCCATCCCCCCCATGCCTCCACCGGACGGAGCGATCCGTTGAAACGCCTGAAAAGGGACCGTCCGTGAGGGAAGTCGCAGAGTGGAAGAGTCCCTCGTTGGTTGGTTGGTTGGGTTGGGTTGGGTTGGGTTGGGTTGGTTGGTCATCTATTTAACAGTTCTTTGCATGATGCGTAAATATATGGATATATATATATATATATATCGCATTGCGATACATATCGTGTACAGCGTCGCCTAGGAGTGTGTGTGTGTGTGTGTGTCCACCCCTGGACAAAGGGTTTTCCACCGCCACACGCAGGGGGCGACAGAGTCGCTGCATGGCTGTCGCTAACGAAGCTCCATGCAGTTGACTAGGATATCACGGCTGATCACCGTGACGTACCTGCAACCGAAACCTTTGACCACGCTGTCTAATCTGCTCGGTTTGTTTCCATGGTTTTTCATGATACCTTCCCCCTAAACCATTTCCTCCCCAGCAGCGCTGCAGCTTGAGCCGCTTCGTCACCGCAGTCAAGGGAAACAACCTTTGTTCAAACACCTACAATTTTCTCGGACTTTTCGCCATGCTGTTCCACCGCCATCCTTCCCATCGTGATAACTGAGTCACTGAATACAAGTGTCAGAGTGTGTTTCGCTCAGCCGTCCCACTCGGGTGCTGAGTGTGATCCCCGTCACAGGGGCGCCGCTTTTTGCATCGGAATTCAACAACCCCAACGTACCACTTCCACTGGACCTTCACCGGAAGTCACGGCCACCCCCATAGAATCAACTGATGCATTGGCCGCCGGGCCCAAAAACGGCACTGCTTCGACAGCCGCCGGGCTATAAAACGGTGCTAACCCCCCATGAGGCAGGTTCCCCTACCCCCCCCCCC